CCTCAGGATGTTCTCTACCCCAGGATTTCTGATGCCAGAGGAAAGAAATGAACTAGGTGCCAAGAGGAACTGAGAAAGACGTTGGGGTCAGACCACAGAGGTTCAAATCCTGGCTCTGCCATTTAAGAGCTGTGTGACCTTGCTTGGTTAACTTAACCTCTCTGAGCCCCATCTAAAACTCAGGGATGATTGGTCCTACTTGACTCCACACTCTGGGGTTGTTTGAGGAATAAATGAGCTAAGGCATGAGTTGCAGCAGATAGTACAAGGTGAGCACAGGTGCTTGATAATTTGGCAGCTGGTTTGCTGTGAGACCAGACTTGCAAGTCAAACGAGGAGGTTGGTCTCTAACAGCAATGATGTGTGGCACAGATGAGAGGAGCCAGGACACCCTCCCGCCACCAGCAGAGGCCTGGGGCCACGTCTCTGTCCTCAGTGTGCTGTGTGACTTAGGACAGGTCATTGCCCTCTCTGGGCCCCTTCATTCTCTGGAGTGACCAACTCAGATCAGGGTCTCCCAAACCTCATATGATACCATCAACAATTTTTGCCACATTTGCTTGCCTGAACTGTTACCTGAGCTGTTATTTATGCAGTTAACACAAGTTAAACATACAAGTGTTAGTTGTTTAGTCATGTCCGACTCTTTGAGACCCCACGGACTGTAGCCCGCCAGGCTCCTCTGTCCGCGGGATTCTCCAGGCAAGAATGCTGGAGTGGGTAGCCATGCCCTTCTCCAGGGGATCTTCTCGATCCGGGGATCGAACCCAGATCTTTTGCACTCCAGGCAGATTCTTTACCATCTGAGCCATGGGGGTTATGCAGTTACTGTCTTCAAACCAGAGGCTCTTTTTAAAGTGAAATTAATGTGGTGGAAAGAGAGGATCTTTATGGTCTTACTATCAGAAAGGGAAGACTGACATCATTCTCCATAAATAGAAGGTGACCCCGCAGATGAACAATGAGAACAGAGGGTGTTAGTGAATTCCAGCGGGAGCTGGTGCCTGAGCCTCTTCCTTCCGGAAGTTAGCACGTATGACAGAGTCTCACTAGCCAGACTGACGCTTGCCTGGGACTCAGGTTGTTTGCAGTCATGAACATTGGGAGGGGAGTGAGGCCCTGTTCCAAGAGGGGGTCCCATGTTCTCTAACAGCCCTTCCCCCCAAATCTGAAATGGGCTCAAGTTCAGTCCCCTGCCTTGGAGAGTGTGCAGTGAGCCCTGGTAATGGTGAATTGGTCTGCTTTCCTGGATTGAATCTGCTCTGCTTTCCTGGATGCCAGAGGTCTGGGGAGCTCCATGCTGACCACCACAGGGAACCCCAGAGTCCCCATGGGGGAGGGAGGTCTGCAGAAGGTGGGCTCCTGGTGGGACGGGAGGGCAACTCGTGAACACTTGCGGAGGATGGATCTCTCCAGTGCTCTGGTTGCAGCCCTGGCTTCCCCTCCGGCCTGCCAGGTCCTGGGTCATCAGAGGGAGCCGGGGACGGTCTCTGAGCAGTGGAAGGCTGTGTTCCTAGCTGAGCTGTAGGAGGTGACTCTGCCGAGGATACGAGAACCTGACCTGATGTGGCCCCTCTAACCTCTCCGTGTCTGCCCCAGGGCTGGGCGTCCCAGGTGGCACTCGCAGTAAAGAACCCGCCTGCCATTGCAGGAGACGCAGCAGATGCAGGTTCAATCCCTGGGTTGGGAAGAGCCCCAGGAGGAGGGCATGGCAGCCCACTCCAGTATTCTTGCCTGGAGAATCCCATGGACAGAGGAGCCTGGCGGGCTGTGGTCCACAGGGTCACAGAGAGTCAGACACAACTGACTTAGCACGCGCGTACTCGTGACCAGCCTTCAACCTCTTTCCACCCCAAACCAAACTACAGGAGGTTCTGAGACCTGGTCACCAGTCCTCCCACTATCTGGCATGTCCTTCATACACACCTTTCCCCAGACTCGGCTCCGTCTGTTCCCTGTGCTTCCTCCTGGATCAGTATGTTACCTTTGGCTGCAGTAGCTCCCTAGATGTGTTTCAGAGGCGGAGAATAGACTCATCTCAGGGTCCTCAGTGCCCAGGTCAGGCCCGGGCATACATAAGGCATGAGATTATGTAGTGTTTAAAATCTCCAGTGGAAAAAGTCCCAGAGAGCTGACCATCCTTAAACAAGTTTCTTACTCCGTCTGAACCTTAGTGTCTTCATCTGTAAAATGGAATCATAATAGTACGTAACTCCTGGGGTGTTAGGAGGGTTGAATGAAATGACCCGTGTGATGCTCCATCTCAGGCGTGCAATCCCCAGGAGCTGACCCCGGAGCAAACAATTCCAGTGCACATTGTTTATTTGGAAGGTGATCCAGGGGCTTCCCAGGTGGCACTAGTGGTAAAGAACCCACCTGCCAATGCAGGAGACATAAGATCTTCCCCTGGGTCAGAAAGATTCCCCTGAAGGTGGGCATGGCAACCCACTCTAATATTCTTGCCTGGAGAATCCCATGGACAGAGGAGCCTGGCAGGCTACAGTCCATAGGGCCTCAAAGAGTTGGACATGACAGAAGCAACTTAGCATGCTATGCCCAGGAATTAACTGGTGTGGAGTGGGGCAGTGAGACCAGGAAGGAATGTATCATCTAGCAGGTCACCTCCACGGCCCTGGGCTCAGTCCTGCTCAGGAGCTCTGGGAAGCAGTGTAATGGAGAATATAGCTGAGTCGCTCCAGCCGCCACACGAGAGCTGGGATACTGAAAGGGTGAAAGTGTCAGGCTCTCAGTCATATCTGACTCTCTGACCCCATGGACTGGAGCCCGCCAGGCTCCTCTGTCCATGGGATTTCCCAGGCAAGAATACTGGAGTGGATTGTCATTCCGTTCTCCAGGAGATCTTCCCAACCCAGGGATAGAACCCCAGTCTCCTGCATTGTAGGCGGATTCTTTACCACTTGAGCCCGTAGGGAATGGGGTATTGATTCCCAGCTTTCTGGCCTTCACCAGTTGGAAGGCAGCTGTGGAAAGATACTGGCTCTGCCTGCACTTGCAGCCTGGAACCCAAGCAGGCTCTGGAGGCAGAGAGGCCTCAGGCAAAGAGGCGGGTTCCTGCAGCTGGAAGCTGTGAGGTTAGGGTGCCTCGGGAGGGTGAGTAGACTGGGTTGGGTGTGGCACCCACACTCTGCCTGGGGCTCATGGTGCAGAGTAAAAACTCAGGAGGGGGTGCCTGCCCTGATCGTGACTGTCTCCATCTTTGTCACTATTCCCGTGCCAGCCTCGCCTCCCACAGTTGAGCAACTTCAGGCAGGTCCCAACTTCAAACAGGTCTGAACCTCTGTTTCTTAGCCTATAAAGTGGGGAGATTGTGGTTCTCAGTGGAAGCAATTCTGCCCCCTTGGGTAGCCCTAGGGAATGGGGTGAGGGAGCATTTTTATTGTTCCCTTTGGGGCCAAGGATGCTGCTGTACACCCCAGAACAACCCACCTGCCATGTCAGAGAATTGTCCTGCCCCAAACATCAGTAACTCCTGATGAACAAGAGTACGTCTTGTGCTATTACACGTGTATTACATGTATAATAGTACATGTTAGTAACGTATAAGTTTTAAAAATTATTTTCCTAATATTTATTTATTTGGCTGCATCAGGTCTTAGCTGGGGCACGTAGGATCTTCGTTGCCCAAAGCACGTGGGTTTACTTGTCCCACGGCACGTGGAATCTCAGTTCCCCAAGCAAGGATCGAATCCATGTCCCCTGCGTTGGAAGATCAATTCTTAACCCCAGCAGGGAAGCTCCTAATATATGAGTTTTATGTGATGCTTGATGACATTTGAGGAAGTAGTCGGAGCTGACATCAAAGGTGGTAAGACTCAGAACTGGGGCAGGACTTGGGGCTCTAAGGGGGGTGGGCGTGGGAATGTGGACCCGGGCGGGGGGGGGGGGTAGGAAAGGAGGACCCGCGGGGAGCCAGGTGGGGAGGACGGCCTGGGAAGACGGGCCAGGCGGGGCTGCTGGGTAGCTTGGCTGTGGCCACATCCTTCCTGTAGGTGACCAGGCATCTTCCCGGCAGGGTGGGAGCTGCTGCCAAGCCCTGCCCACTCGCTGGAGCTAATGTCAGCCAGCTGACCCCAGGCGACTCTGAGCAAGCTACTGTCCTCCTTCCTCAGGTCCTGAGATTCCCCTCCCGGGGATTTTCTGCCAGGAGTGAGACAGTCCTTCCTTTCCCAGGTGAAGCCACTGCTTCTCCAGCCTGGTGCTTAGAAACCAGACACATTCATTAAAACATTTTAATAAAAAATCATAGGGGACTTCTGTGACAGTCCAGTGGTTAAGACTTCTTCCAGTGTAGCGGGTACAGACTCAATCCCTGGTCGGGGAGCCAAGATCCCACATTCCCCATCTTTTGTGCTCAGTCCTGTCCTAACTCTTTGCGACCCTATGGTCTGTAGCCCGCCAGGCTCCTCTGTCCGTGGGATTTTCCAGGCATGAATACTGGAGTGGATTGCCATTTCTTCCTCCAGGGGTCGAACCTGCCTCTCCTGCATCTCTTGCACTGCAGGCAGATTCTTTACCTCTGAACCACCAGGGAAGCCCAAGACTCCACATACCTCCTGGCCAAAAAACCCAAAGCACCAAACAGAAGCTATATTGTAACAAATTCAATAAGGACTTTAAAAATGGTCCATGTCCAGAAAAGAAAAAAAAAATTACAGGACAGCATTGCCAGCCTAAGGTTGAGGTTCCTGGTGGTTCCCCAAATTCAAACCTCTTGATGGATGGGGGCAGGTCAGTGCTTCCGTGCTAGTAACGCCCCTTTGTCCCTCTTTGCCAGGCCTGCTCCCCTCGAAAGCTACGTGCCAACAGAGAGGTTCCCGTCTGGGCCCAGGACGGTGGGACAGAGAGATTGAGAAGGAACGCTAAGGTCCGGAAGGCACGTGCCCCTGCCTGAAGAGTGAGGCAGGGGTGCCCGGAGAGCTCGCCCGCCTACGGCGGCGTGCACACAGCCTCATCCTGGCTTCCAACCTTCTGCCTTCTCAATGGATGTTTACACGAACCCAGCCAGAGTCAGCCTCCCTGCTTTCCACCCCCGGCTGCGTCTGCTTACCCCACTTAACCTTCGGAGAGAGAGGACACGTCATACAGAAAAGCGACTCCCAGCTCTGTTTGATGCCAGGGGAGCTGTAAGCCCTATAGGGTCTGTCCCGAGGCTGGGCTTAGATGCAGGGACTACTTCCGAGAGGGTGACTCAGAAGGAAAAGAACAGCTGGGGGGCTGAGGGTGGGGTTTGGACTCATTCATTTCAAGTTGTTTGCTTGCCATCAAGTTGCCAGAACTGATACATTGTGCCAGGGGTGGGTCAGCCACCCCTCCGGCCAGAAATATTTTTTGAAAATGTGAGTGGTATGAATACTTGACTTCGATAAACCTGTAAAAGCAATACTTAGGAGGCTAACTTCTTTCAATTAAAAAATGTATGCAACTCCAACCCCTGGGGGCCCTGCCTTTTTTTTCTCCTTTGAGATTTGGGAAGGGAGTCCTTACACAGAACCTCTGATAAAAGGGCAGAAGGGTCCGGACCTCCTCAGTTGGAGATCCAGTGGGGCTTGGAGGGTCTATCCAAGCTGGGCTGGTGTGGGAGTCCCACCTGGGCACCCTCCTGGTGTCCACAAGCCTCAGACAAGCCAGGACCCACCTCGGGTGTGGTGGGAAAGGCCTGATGGCCAAGCTGAAAATCAGGCCCGAATCCCACAGAAGCTGGAGGTGGGGATCCCCCGTGTTGGGTGTGTGGTGGTGGTGGTGGTTGCTAGTGGCTAAGTCATGTCCGACTCTTTGCACCACCATGAACTGTAGCCCATCAGGCTCCTCTGTCCACGGTATTTCCCAGGCAAGAATACACTCCAGGAAATCCCATCTCCTTCTCCAAGGGATCTTTGCAACCCAGGAATCAAACCTGCATAATTCCTTTACCGCTGACCAACCACTTTGGCGCCTGGTAGACCTCCCCTAGAGATGAGGGGAGTGAGCGGGTGAGGGAAAAGAGCAAGTGGATGACTGAAGCCAGGTCTGCTTGCAGCAATTCTTTCCAGTTTGCAGAACACCTGATGCTTTTCAAAGTACCTTCATGTATACACCATGTTTAACAAGGAGTGGGTGGTCAGCTCCATTCTACAGGTGAGGAGACGGAGGTGTGGGAGAGGAAAGGCCTTCGGGTGATTGTAAGAAAGCATGCTGACAGGTGCGAACAGAAGACATCTGAGAAAAGGGGGAGCAGAAGGAGGGAGACATTTCTTTGGGGGAGAAGCCTAAAGGGAAAAGCAAGTGTTTAAAAGTGCATGGACAAGACTTCCCTGGCAGCCCAGTGGTTAAGACTTTGCTTCCAATGCAGGAGATGTGGGTTGGATCTCTGGAGATCTTGGATCTCCAAGATTCCCTGGAGAAGGAAATGGCAACCCGCTCCAGTATGCTTCCTTGGGAAATCCCATGGACAGAGGAGCCTGGCGGGCTACAGTCCACGGGATCGCGAAGAGTCAGACATTAAAAAAAAGAGACATGACTAAGCGACTGAACAACAACATATATATATATATACACACATATATATATATATATAAACATATATGTATATACACACACACAATTTAAATGCCTTAAAAAATAAATAGGACTTCCCAGGTGGCACAGTGAAAGAATCTGCCTGCTAATGTAGAAGACGCACGATACATGAGTTTCATCCCTGGGTCAGGAAGATCCCCTGAAGAAGGAAATGTCAACCCACTCCAGTATTCTTGCCTGGGAAATCCCATGGACAGAGGAGCGTGGTGGGCTACAGTCCGTGGGGTCACAAGGAGTCAGACACGACTGAAGACCCATCCACGAACACATCTTTCATTTAAAGTTGTCACTATGAATAATTACAGCCTCTGATCTCATTTTGTCACCTGTGAACAGATCAAAAGCAGTGGGGATGATCATGCCCACCTCGCCTGATTGAAGGGTGCTGTCGATGCCTGGATCAGAAGGAGACTCTTCCTGTGGCTGCACACGTGGGAGTTCCGTGGGGTCCACAAAGCCCACACATGCAGGGACCCCGTGAGGGGTGACGCCCCGGTACAAGACCAGAGGCCCTTAGCCCCCAGGGCGTGTGGGGCCTTCCTTCCTTAGGGGGCTTCCCCTAAGGTGGAAGGCACCACCTCTCTGCCAGGACGTCCAGCCAGACAGCAGGATCAGAATCCCTCTAACGCTCTTGACCCTCAACCCCTACTTGCTGGGAAGAGGGGGAGAATCTGAGAGCCAGGCAACCAGAGCCAGGCAGCTCCCACAGCTGCCAGGAGCCAAGCTGTCCCAAATCAGGGCTTCTGACCGAGCAAGCCACGCTCCGGTGAAAAACACCAACCAACCTGGCAGTTCTGTACGTAGACAGCAAAGCTGCCGGGTCCCTTCCAGGCTTGCCACGGCCAGGGCCAGATGCCAGCTCAGCTAAGCAGCGACTCCCAGGATAGAGAGGCGGGGCAGAGACAGGAAAACACAGGGTAAAGCTCACAGTGCTTCAGCCTTGTTGACCGCCGAGTCATGAATTTTCCAATGCAGGGTAGGAAGCCATTGAGAAAATCCTTTCCCCAAAGACAGGACTGTGGCCAAAGTGGACTCTGCTGTGTGTTGGGCTGGGTGAGTGAGTGGGGCTGGGAGGCTGGAGGGGCCTGGGGAGGGGAGGAGAGCAAGGGTCCTGGTCAACTGGCCGTAGAATATGGCAGAAGTGATGCTGCATGACAACCAAGGCTGGCTTACAAAAAGGACATGATTTCTCACCGTGGTCTCCATCTCCCCCTCCCAACCTCTCTTCCTGATGGCATGATCACCCTTCAACCCAGCCTCCAGGCCGTGAGGAAGCCCCCCCATGGAGAGCCCCCCGCCCCGCATCCTTAGAGGCACCAAGGCCCCCAGTCAGCATCAGGTGCCAGGCTGACCTGGAGCCGGGCAGAGAGATGAGCAGTCCCCACCAAGCCCTGCCCAAAAGACAGATGTTTAAGGGCAGAATAAACATCGGTGCTGTTTTAAGCCACTATGTTTTGAGGGTGGCTTGTGATGCGTTAGCTAGCCAGAAGAGTGTGCACCCAAAATTTAGTAATCACAACATAAACACAGGACCTGCCCGTGGGATTAAGTGACAGATTTATATGTAGTGGAAAAAAAAAAACAAACAGGAAATGGAGGCAAAAAGGCGAATGTGGTCCAGGCCATGGCCCCGCCCCTCCTCCGCTAGTGTATATCGTCAGCTCTTTCCCCGCGAAAGAGTGCATCTGGCCAGGCCTAGCTTTGGCCTCGGCCAAAACAGTCAGTGCAAACCAGTGAGTCCCAGAGACAGAAGGCAGCTGCCGAGAATTTCCAGTGGTCGCGCTTTGGGAAATGAACAGGCTGGATGATGCTCACAGGCATCCTTGGAGCCGGTCCTACTAGGAGAGCAGCGTGGAGACGTGCTTTCCCCCCAGGCCACAAGGGACCTGGGCAGGCGGATATGTGGCCGCCTCACCCATCGCCCCGGCCTTAGCCACGGCTGTCTGCAGTGTCCTTTGGGAATGCCTCAGGGCTCCCAGGCATTCAGCAGCAGCCCCCGGGCGCCCGCCCACCTGCCAGAGCCGCGGTGGCTGAGCAGGGCTGACATCTACCCGGGGAACCGAGGGGTTGGTCCGCAGAGCAGGCAGTGGGTCCTCTCTCCAGCTGGGTGGGAGCCGACCCTGAGTCACCGGGGTTGGGCATCACAATGCCACGTCCCACAGGACACAGGCCGAGAAAAGCCGTGTCCCCAAAGCACCAGGCGAGGGTCCAGCACAGTCAGTGTCCTCGGAGAGCGTGCTGTGGGAGGCTGGGAGCGGGGAGATGAGGAAGCTTTAGGACAGGGCAGGTCAGCGCACGGAGAGAGCGTGGTTGAGCCCGGGGACGGGAGGGGTGCGGGGATGGAGGAGGGGACAGCCCAGGTCGGGGCTGGGGAAGGGGCGCATGGAAGCGAGAGGACAGTCACGTGCACAGAAATCGGTAGAACGAAGTCCTCTGAGGATAAGGCCGAGCAACGGGGCAGCCCGAGGACTGAGATAGCAGCCGGGCTAGCTGGGGCATCCGTGAAGGAAGACGCTTCAATGCTGAGGGCCACGGGGTGTGCACGCTGACCTGCCCGTCCTTCCCCGGGGCCCCAGACTTGACCACAGGGAGGATCCCCAAGGCCCAAGCCCTCAGCGCATTTAGAGGACACCCCAGAAGAGAAGGAGGCGGGGTAGGGGGCCGGCCGACAGAACACGGGTCCAGGAGGGGTCACCCAGCTCCTAGCCGCTGCCCCGCCCACCGCTTCCGGATACTGACTTCACGGGGCCCTGTCCCTGGAGCCCCCCGGGGCTCTCCCCTCCCAAGTTCACCTCAGTTCCCTTGTCCCAGCCGCAGCCTGGATCATCTCAGGATGATTCTGGGGTCCAGCTGCTGCAGGTGCTCCTGGACGCCAAAGGGGATGGTGGGTGTCCACATGCTGTGAGGGGGCGTGGCACATGGAGGCCAGCTCAGAGGTTGGCGGTGGTCCCAAGTCCCCAAGGCAGGCTGCCTCCAAATTCCTCCTCCCACCCAGCTTAGTGTGGGGTCACAGGGACACCAGAAGTCTGGTGACCACCCCCCCGCTTTTAAACTTGGTTCTGCTTCAAGGAGATAGTGAAGGACAGGGAAGCCTGGTGTGCTGCACTCCCTGAGGTCACGAAGAGTCGGACACGACTGAGTGATGGAACCACAACTGTTGAGAACTTGCCGTGTGATCTCAGAAAGGTTCATTAACCTCTCTGTGCCTTATTCTTCACATCTGCATAATGGGTCTTCCAAGAGCCACCCTACTCCTCTTAGAAGATGTGAGTGATTATGTAGACAACAGTGCTTTGAAAGATTCTCAAGTACAGTACTGGACACTGGACATCATAGTGATGTAATAATAAATAAGTCTGAATCATATGAAATTGACAGTGGTATAGGTCAACAGTGGAGGGGGGCACAGCAACCCACTCCAGTATTCTTGCCTGGAGAATCCCCATGGACAGCGGAGCCTGGCGGGCTACAAAGAGTTGCAAAGAGCTGGACACAACTGAGCGACTAAGAACAGCACACACACAGATCAACAGATAAAAGCGATTTCATACTGTTCGGCTTACTATTGAGTCTTTCCATGGACCAGACACTGTCCTAAGTATCTTGACTAATTTAAACCCCACAAAACTGCTTCAGACTAAATATTATTATCACTCCCATTTTACAGATGAAGAAACTGAGGCCAGGGAATTCCCTGGCAGTCCAGTGGATGGGACTCAGTGCTCTCACTGTTGAGAGCCTGGGTTCAATTCCTAGTCAGAGAACTAAGATCCCCTAAGCTGAAGCAAAAAAAATGAAGAGACTGAGGCCAGTGGGGTGACATGTCTGTTGCCCCAGGTCACACGCTGGAGAGGGGCAGAGTGGGATTTGAGCTCAGGTGACCCCCACGCTGACTCCCCCTCCACCTCGGCCAAGACTTACGCCAGTGTCTTCACCTGAGGGCACTTTCTCAGGCCAGCGGCAAGCTGCTGGGCCCCAGCGGCTGTGAACTTGTTGTACTGGACGCTGGGGAGAGAAAGCCATTGTGCATTCTGGCCCCGGGGACCATCCAGCCCCAGACCAAGGCCAGCACCATGCTCTCGACAACCGGCCCTTCCCACGATGCCAGCAAGAGACTCCCGGTTCTCCCAAGCCCTGCCCCACTGCCCAGGCTCCCACACTCACTCCAGCATCCGGAGGGACACCATGTCCGGAAGCACGTGCGCCAGGCTCTCGGCTCCCGCGTCGCAGATGCAGTTGTTGTACAGGCTGTGGGAGACAGAGGTCAGAGCAGGGGCCGGGGGTGCTGGGGGGCCGGGGCCTAGCGGGAGACCTACCAGCTGGGACTGCTGCCCCATTTGACAGAGGGGAAAACTGAGTAACTTCTCCGTGGTCACTCAGTGAGTCTGGGGAGACAGCAGGACTGAGCAGAGGTAGCTTCTTGCCAGAGACATCTCAAGTTCAAATCCCAGCTCTGCAGCTTGCTGCCTGACTTTCGGCAAGTTACTCAGCATCCCTGTGACTCAGTTTGCGCCTCCATAAAATGGGCATGTTAGAGTAATAGTGGGGAAGAGTAAATAAGTTAGTGTTGGTAAAACACCCAGAACAGGGTCCGACACATGGAATGAACTACTTGTTAACTATGGTTATTATATCTCCCGGGGGCGGGGAGGGGGTTGTGAGGTTATATCAGTTACTGTAGTGTGCCCGGCACTGGGGATATAGCAGGGGAGAGTGAAACCCGGAGTCCCTGGGCAGGCTCGGGTTTCTATAGGGTACTCAGTCACCATCAGCAGTGTCAAAAATAGAACCACGGGTGTCGCCGATGCCTCATTAACAAGAGTCCTTTTAACAAGCCAGGTGCGGCTGCGGTTCTAATTTCAAGGCCATGACTTTGCCTTGACCCGGCCTCAGGGCAACACTGCAGGACTGCCTGTAAAAGCAGCAGGTCTACACTGCAGCAAAGAGGATTCAAGATAAACTCCGGGGACCCCTGATGTCATGAGTCGGCTGGAACCAGGGCAGGAAGCAGGGGGAGGTTTTGCAATCTCTTCCTGGGATGGACCTTAGAACCCAGGGGGCCCTTCCTCCCCCTACAGGGAGAGGATTTTTCCCATATTCCACTGATGCCAAGATGTACATGTTCACATTTGAAAATCACTGAGATCAGGATGTGTCTGATAATCAAAGAATGTCATCCTTTAGTTAACAGCGTTTTGTCCTCTTAATGATGTCTTACCAATGGAAGGCATCTTAAAGTCCTTAAGATATGGGGTTTCTTTTTTTCATTTTTTGGCCATGCTGCACAGCTTGCAGGATCTCAGTTCCCCAATCAGGGATAGAACCTGGGCCACAGCAGCGAAAGCCCAGAATCCTAACCACTCGGCCACCAGGGAACTCCCAATACGAAGTTTTTTAAAGTGTCAGTCAGGTCACATATCACCCCCACCGGCCCCACCTGCTTCTCCATTCACACCAGAAAACCCCCAGTCTCCCTCCTGACTCTACGAAGGCCTCCCTGTATGGTCTGGCCTCCCCTGACCTCTCTCGTCTCATCTCCCACCCTCTGGCCCTAGTTCCTTATATCCAGCCACAGGGGCCCACCCCACTTCTGGCGAAGGACCCAACCTCTTTCCCACCTCAGGCCCTTTGCATCTGCTGTTCCCTCTTCCTGGAATGCTTTTCCCTGACAGCATCCCACAGAAGGGGTAGGGTCACCTCCTCAGAGCTCTCTTGACCTCCCTGGTGAATTCAGTCCTCCCTGTTGTCCCTCTCCCTGGCCTTCGTTAGTTTCCTCCTTCCCAGCATGAATCAGCGTTTTACTTTGTTTATTCATTTGCTTATTTATTACGCAAGGAGCTCGAGAGTAAGACCTGTGCTGCTTTTGTTCATAGCTGTATCTCTAGTTCCTAGCACAGGTTCTGGCCCAGCATCTTAGATGCCCTCAGGGACCCTGGCTGGAAGGCTAATGGACTGGAAGGACCATCAGTCCCGGGTACCACCAGGGGCCAGGCTGTGAGTGCAAGTCGTTCAGTCGTGTCTGACTCTTTGCAACCCCATGGACTGTGCAGTCCATGGAAATCTCCGGGCTAGAATACTGGAGTGGGTAGCCTTTCCCTTCTCCAGGAGATCTTCCCAACCCAGGGATCAAATCCAGGTCTCCCGCATTGCAGGCAGATTCCCGGCTGAACCACAGGGGAAGGCCAGGGGCGAGGCTGGAAGTAATCAAAAGCAAGATGTGCTATTCCAAGCCTCACCAGAAGGTGGCAGTGTAGGCACGGACCAGTGTCAGTGACAAGAGCCAGCCAAGGCTGCCTGTGCGCAGTCAGCCTTCTAGAAATCACTAACCCTGGACTCCAGAAAAGGCTCAGTCCTGCCATCCCCTGGGGAAGGAGGACCAATATTTATTAAGCACCAGAGCCAGGCACTGCTCCAGGCGTTTTCTGTAGGCCATAGAGATGGTACCCGTTTTCCAGATGAGGAAACAGAGACTCGGCAAGAAAACGACTTGCCCAGGATTTGCCCTTCCTTCCGGGGGCTGCTAACCCTCTTGTCCAGGGCGGGGGCATCACCCAACTCCAGCGGGATGTGTTCATGGTGGGTTTTAGGCCCCCTACTCCCCACCCCCCACCCCCTCCAAACTGTGCAACACCAACCCAACAGAACAGCCTGTAGCAACTGCTTCCAGGGACCTCGCAGCCAGTAACCAAGGGGGCTCTCTGCCCACCCCCCAGCCACCAGCTCAGCACCTGACAGAGGGGGACCCCACTCACCTCAGCCTGAGGAGGGACGCGGCCAGCGCGGGCAGAGCCTCGGCCAGCTTGCAGGCACCCACGTCAGTGATGTTGTTCTGGGACAAGCTGCAGGGGTACCACAAGGGGCAGGGCTCAGGGTCAAACTTGAATGCCCCTACCCGCCAGCACTTGTGCCCCAGGCTCGCACAGAGCTGGGGACCTCCTCTTTCTCACAGGGTGGCCCAGGGCAGCAAACGCAAGGCAGCCCACCTGGATGAGAGCTGTGGGTGCTGAACGCTGTGAGGGTACTACCTGAGGGTACTATGGGTAAACTGGACCAATAAGAGGATGCAGTCACATGCTGAGGCTGAGCGTGATGACGGGGTAAGGATGCAGGTGAGAGAGAGACTGCACTCCTCCCACACCTGTTTTATGAGTTTATAGCATCTCTTCTTTTCCCTCTGGACCACTTTTCAGGACTGTCATTACGTGAGGGCTCACATTGGTTGTTTGAGCTCCTCTCCTTGAGGTAAGGGGTCAGATCTGTTTTGTTCATTACTGTAAATGTGTGCCTAGAGCCAAGGAGATGCTCAGGAAATACTTAAGTGGGGGAACAAAGGAAGGAAGGAAAGGTAGGAGACGGAGACAGAGATGGAGGGAGGAATCAGGGAAGGAAAGAAGGAAGGAAGACGGGAGTGAAAACTAGCTTACTCACATTATTTCCTTAAACACTCTAAATTACTTAAGAAGTCTCACTGTCCCTCCATCAAGGAAATCCCTAATTGGTTCTGGTGAATTCTGTGGCTTCCCTGATCACAGTTGTGGAATAGAGTGTGCCTGAATTTTAACGATCCCTCTAGGTTCAGTAAAAAGAAATAATGTTGACCCTCCTGCCTCATATCCATTTCCCACTCCCTCAAACCCAGAACAGTTTTTTTTAAATCAAAATTCACTATCTTGCTAATAATGTTTCACAGATAAATCCTAACCTAGCTCTCCTGTATCACCCTTGGTCTAACTTTCTCTCATGAGACATTGCTTATATTCATTACTGCACATGTCACAATTATGGATTCTTGTTTGTTGGTTTATTGTGTCCCCTCCCTAGAAGAACCCTGAGGTCAGGGACTTTGCTTTGCTTAAAGCTGGGTCTCCAGGGCCTTAAACTGCGTCTGCACAAAATAGGTCCTTCTTACTTATTTGTTGATTAATTAGTAGAATGGCTGATTAAAGAAATGACTGAATGAATGAATGGATGGGTGGATGACTAAACAGCTGCATGATTGAGTGGATGAGGAAATGAAAGAATTAAAAGGTGGGACTCTAGGGACAAATGCAGCAGGAAGGACAAGCCCAGCCCACTCACTTGAGTGTCTCCAGAGCCTTCAGCTGAGGGAAGGTGGTGGCAAGCTGGGCGACACCCTCGTCTCCGATCTTATTCTCGCTCAGTGAGTCCAGGCTGCAGGTAGAATCAGATGGGGGGCATCAGACAGCACCCCAGAGGCCACGTGACCCTCCCCCACCCTCCAACCCAGCAGCAGCCTCCTCTGACCCCCCAACCCCTGGACACACCATGGCCAGATGCAGCTGAGTTCTGAGAATATGAGAGCGTCTTCATCACCTGGGGGCACCAGGTGACCAATCAGGGGACAAGGTTCTGACTCCCCACGGACCTGAATCTCTGTTTTCCTTTCTGGGAGCCCCATGAGCCGGGGCAAGTACCCCAACCTCTCAAGACCTGAACTGTACAACTGGGATCACATTCCTCGCCCCTGCATCCCCTGTGGGGTTGCTGGGAGCAGCACAAGAGGGGGAGTCTCAAAGGTCACAAAAGGATTCAACTTCTTTTCGTTGTTTCCATCTCTCGTCCCTTCCCTGCAGTGGGGGCATCCAGTCACTCACACTCATACTGAGGGAGCAGGGAGAAAGGGACAAACAGGGCCAGGGTTTGGAGAAATTCCAGGGTTTATACTCACTCCAGGTGCTGAAGGGAAGTAAAGGCCTCGAGGATCTTCACCAGTTTAGGAAAAACCTGTGGGCCCAAGACGGGGCCCAGCCTAGGAGGCAAAGGGCAAAGTCAAGACCCTGAAACAGCCATGGGCCTGCTATTTGACCCCACAGACGGCAGGCCCCCCTGAGACCTTACCTCGTCCTTGCCCCACCCGGTGGGACCCCAATCCTCTCTACTTCAGGCAGATCTCACAAAACCCACTCAAGAGGCCCGCTGGGCTCCCAGCTGGGGGCTCCCCAGCCTTCATCTCTGCCTGGGGAGCCAGGTCTCACTCCTGCCATCATCCATGTGTGCCCTTCTCCCACCCTGGCCCGGGGAAATGGTTCCCAAATGTTGGCCTGAGGAACCACCTCCAGCCCTGAGAAAGATGACTTACATATTTTCCACTGCTATTTCATAACGAACAGAACCATTTCCTGAGCACTTTTTATATGCCAAGAATATGGTGGGTTCATCACTCAGATCTCATTTAATCCTCACAATGACTCTGAACTAGGAGCCCTTCTTAGCCCCATTTTACAGATGGGGAAACCAAGGCACAGACAGGTTAACTAACTCATGTAAGGCCACACAGCCTGGATGGACATTTAGAACAGACTTCAAGGGAATGAGAAAAATAAAGACAACAAAGGGCTCTCTCTCTCTTTTTTAAAATATGGTTAAATTACTCAAGGTAAAGAACCATCTTTTATTCTGAAATTATATCCTTTGAACTTTTTTGACATTATAATGTTTCATTTTTTATAAAATGATGGTGCCATCAGTGGTTATTTCACTTGTTTTAATGCGCATACCTGATATAAATTAAAAGATGGTAACTGCACAGAGTCACCGAAATTCACTGCAAAATATTCTCAATCTTTGAAACCCCAAAGTCTGGGAATCACCAGCCTTAATGAAAGGTCATGAGATGGGGTGATTTGAAATCTGATTTGAATCTGGGCTGGCTTCCCTGGTGGCTCAGATGGTAAAGAATCTGCCTGCAATGCAGGAGACCTGGGTTCCATCCCTGGGTCAGGAAGATCCCCTGGAGAAGGAAATGGCTACCCACTCCAGTATTCTTGCCTGGAGAATTCCATGGACAGAGGAGCCTGGTGGGCTACAGTCCATGGGGTCGCAAAGAATCAGAAATGACTGAGTGACTAACACTTTTCATTTAGCTTCTCTGGGATCTTTTGGACAAATCCCTTCACCTCTGAGTCTCCATCTTCTCAAATTTAGTCCTAGTCTTAGAAGGTTTTTGAAAAGATTAAGGAATTCATTTACCAAATATTGCTTGCCTATCGGGTGCCAGGCCCATCAAACCTGTCAACGCAGATCACCATGAACAGAACAGACAAAAGTCAAAACCCTCGTGGAGCTAACATACCAAGGGGCAAGATGGATAATCAGAGAAACTGGCAAACTGTCTGGTACGGGAGATTATAAGTGATACAGAGAAAAGTCCAGCGCGAGCGGGGCAAAATTGTACTTTCAAATACGGGAGCCAGAAAAGGCCTCTCTCAGGGATTTCCGTGGTGGGTCAGTGGTTGAGACTGCCCCTTGCAGTGCAGAGGATACAGGCTCAGTCCCTGGTGGGGGATCTAAGATCCCACACGCCATGGAGAAATGAAGCCTGCGTGCCACAACCAGAGAGCTCATACACCGCAAGGAAAAATCCCGCGTGATGCAACAAAGATCTTTTGGGCTGCAACTGAGATCTGAGGAAGCCAAATAAAATGAATAAATGAATATCTTTTAAAGTTTTTTTTTTTTTAGAAAGAAAAGATCTCTCTTGCTGGAAACCAGAAGAAAAGTGTGGGCATGGGCCATGCAGACACCTGGGGAAAAGAGTCCTGGGCAGTAGGCAGAGCCAGTGCAAAGGCCCAGGGGTTGGACCATCAAGAGGATGCACGTGGCTGCAGACTGCAGGAGGCAAGGCTGAGGAGGTAAAAGGGGCCTGAATCGGGAGAAGCGTCCACCAGCACAGCGCCTGCGGGGCTCTGAGTGGCTGAGCGGCCTCATCTATAGGCAGGTGAGACCGACAGGGCACTGGACACGGTAGCTGCCAGTCAGACGCCCAAAATAGTCCCTTCCTTCCTTCCTTCTTTCCTCAGAACTTCTCGGGGCTTCTGGCCTGCAGGTGGCTAGCCTCCGGGTTATGGACTGTGTTCTACCTGACGGCTGTTGCTCCCCAGAGCACAGTTCCTACCTCAAGCTAGGGGCTTTTGAAGCCGAAAATAATTCAAAGCCAGAATGGGCCCTTGGTACTTGTTTTCATATGTTTCCTCTTTTCAGCAACACTTTTTTTTTTTTTACCTCTGCACAAATTTGGTATCTTGTCTTTCTCTGTTCAAAAGAAGAAATGCTTGGCTTTTTCTGGAGGGCCAGGGAAGCCATGATCAGGAGGAGCAGGCAGCTTGTGGGTGCCCCATCGAGGACCCTGGGCAAGTTACTTAATCTCACTAGGCCTCAGATTCCTCATCTGTAAAATGGGGGCAATAATAACTATCTCAGCTCTTAAAATTAAAGAGATTACATACAAAAGGCACCAAGTACACTGTAGGTGCTTAATAATTCCTTCCTAATCATCAGATGATTTAAGATCCCTAACAAGATCCAACTACGAATTTAGCTTTTTCCTGCATTGGAGCAAGAGCCAGCCAGGCTGATCTGACATTTGTGACTTTGGACAAACAATTTACACCCTCTAGGCCTCAGTGTTTGCTTCTGTACAATGGGGAGATAATAACAATTTCTCCACCCAGCATGGTTCATTCCTATTCCTTTGTCTAGCTTCAATACTTCCATGACCTCCTTCAGGAAGCCCCCTAAGCCTGAATTCTCATAGCCCTTGAGTTTCTAGCCACTAATCACAGTAGCAGGTGGTAATTTTACGCTGGACAGCAAGCTGATTGAGAATAGTGGCCTCAGCCATAGGAATAGATCTGTTGAATGAGTGGGTGCAAATGAGCTTCTTCACCAGCAAATGGGCTGGTTAGCTTCACCCGTGAGACCCTCCAGGACTAGCCTGGACCGGCCATACCCCAGCTGCTGGAAGCTGGTTTCCAGAGTGGCGGGGGGTGGGACAAGAGGATAAGAATGACTCTGAGGGCTGATCTGAATTCTGGTGGCACCAGCCTAGCTAATGCTGGAGGAGACGTGGGAACCCAAGACGATCTACCCCCTGGCTTACGCAAACTCCAGCTTCTTTAAGTCTCGGACAGCAGGGAGCTCCCCAGCTGCTTCTTCAGAGGAGCTTCTTGTCCTGGAGAGAACAGGCAATGTTAGTGGAGAGTTGGCAGCATACGGTCACTGAGCCCCTTCCTCCGTGTCCTAATGCCCCAGTGCCCAGAATTTCCTGGAAGAACAGCCTTCCTTGGGCTCCTATTGTCCCCTTGTTAAAAAAGAAAAGAACCTCCAAAAAGGATATTGTTAAGGCATCACTGTGTGTTTCACAGAAAAGAGCCTTAGAGGAGGCATTACCCACACCCACTCCAGACAGAGCACAGTAGGTGCTCAAACAATGCATGATGAAGAGATGAGGGAATGACAGCTGTGGTCATGTCTCCTCCACCTTCTCAACCTTAGACCTCTGCCATCTATAAAATGGGGATGCTGGTCCTGGCTGCCTTGAAAGATGGCCCTGGTGTCACTTGTGTGACTGGATGAACACTTAGCAGGAGAGAATATCCCCTTGGCTGTATTTATTTATTTTTTTAAAAAATTTTGGTTGCACCTCGCAGCATGTGGGGCCTTAGTTCCCTGGCCAGGGATCAAACCCACGCCCCCTGCATTGGAAGGCATAGTCTTAACCACTGGACCGCCGAGGACGTCCCTGAAAGTGTGTCCTTAGATTTAGCTGGGAAAGAAGTGGGTCTATGATGGCAAGTTCTGAAGTAGACACAGTGATAGATGCCTGGGCGGCAACCACAGTGAGAGGTTCTAGATGGTCATTGCCCAGGGATGGAGAGGGGCTTGAGAGGTTCCCCCAAAAGAGGAGGCACTAGAAGTGCTCATGATGAACTTAATACTAAGTCCTGTGCGGCCTGGACCAGCTCCCATGCCCCCTCCCCCTCACCTCTGGATCTGCACGAGATTGCCGAGGTCTTCCACATCCTTCATGGACTTGGCCTTGAAAGGCTCAATGGTGAACTTCTCCTCCACCGCCCGGAGTAGCTTGGCCTCCCCACACTCCTGCAGGGATTCCCAGAGCTCCACAGTGTCACTCAACGCAGCCCTGTGAAGGAAGGGCCTCAGACCCAGGCACGGTGACCAGGCTAGACCATGATGGGGGTGGGGGAGCAGCTCCATGAAGGAACCTCCTACCTGTTTAGATACTGTCCTTCCTCAACACAACCCCTACTTCCTCTAGAGAGTCTTGCATGACCACTCAAGCCCTTACCACCTCTTCTGTTTACTCAACTCTCCCAATGGTTTTATTTCCCTTTTTGCTTTGGCTACCAGAAAGCTCAGTGGAAAATTCTCAGTTGAATGACAATGTTGTAGACCTTACAGCATGGTTAAATTACGCTGAGGGGGAAGGTGGAAGAGATCCTCTGGTGATTAAATGATCAAACAGATCACCGAAGGATTTAGATTCCTTAATTTAAGGAATTTTTCCTTCATCCTGAGGGAGGTAGGGTGCCTCTGAAAGATTGGAAGCCAGGATGGAATATGATCAGATGCAATTTCTAGGGAGACTGTGCTGATGGTGGAATATAACGTGGAGTGGAACAGGAGAATGGAGGCAGGGAGGTTGAGGGAGGCTATGGCCTTAATCCCACCATGACAAAATGGTGGCTTGATGGGGTTTCCATCTCAAGGGATGGAGAGAAGAAAATGAATTCAAACCCAGATCAGTCTTAGATTCTAGACGTGGCCCAGTGCCTGGCTTAAGGCCGGTCTTCACATTCTGGTTGAAAGAATGATGCTGTCCTTCCCTGGCTGTGTGACCTCGGACAAGCTACTGTCCTCTGAGCTTCGGCTTCTTCATCTTAAAAAAAAAGGATGGTATCACGTCTGCCCTCATCTGGCTGCCATTCATTCTAAATGAGACCACCCCACGGAGTCAGCACTGGGCATAGCACCAAGACGCACTCTAGGTGTCCAAGGCCAAGGAGCCCCCTCTCCTGTCGCCGGCCCCCACCTGAAACGGGCGACACAGCGGAGTCCCACGAGGCTCCCCAGTCCGGAGGGGTCGACGCCAGTGCCGCGGAGGTCCAGGGAGAAGTCTCGGCCGGCCGCCTCCAGGGCGCGGCCCAGCACGTGGGTGTCGGGAGGCGTGAGCCGCGTGCCCAGGAAGGAGAGGCGGGCTGGGAGCCCTTGCAGCACGTGCTGCCAGAGCCCGGGGTCCAGCGCCTCGTGGGCGCAGTGCAGCAGCTCCAGCAGCCGCCCCGCCTGCAGCGTCCCGGGCTGCAGCCGCTTCAGGTACCTCGTGAGCACCTTCTGCTTCCTGTCCGCCGACGCGGAGGCCGCCGGCCCCGCCAGGGCCCCCAGGCAGCCGGCGCGAGGCTGGAAGACCAGTCCGACCAAGAAGCGCGGCACGCCCTCTAGCCAGTTGTCATAGGGCCGCTTCTTCCTCGGGGTCAAGGCCAGATACTGCGGCAGCTCCTTGTCCTTGATTTCGCCGCTCAGAGCCAGCCACACGGCCCCCAGGAAGCACTGCAGGAGGAAGCTGGAGAAGGCCAGGTCGGTCTCCAGGGCCCCCGGGGTGGGCCGCAACCAGCCCTGGGCCACGGCCCAGGCCCTCGCCTCCGCCGATGGGAAGCGGTCCTCCTTCAGGCCACTCTGGTGCGCACGGCCCAGCTCCCAGGCCAGCCTGGCCAGTCCTGCCAGGGCCCCCGGGGGGCTGTCGCGGGCTGCTGGGCCTAGCAGGCCCACGTAGAGGCCCGTGAGGGTGGAGGGCAGCTGGGCTTCACCACTCTGCTGCAGGAGGGCCTCCGCTAGCTGGCACACGGCCTGGCACACGGTGGGGCTGTGGCTGTGACTCAGGAGGAATGGCCGGGCCCGAAGGAGCGCCAGGGCCCTCTCTTGGTGCTCGGCGGTCCCCTCTGACTCAAAGTAATGCCTCACATAGGTCTCAGCCTGCTGGGCCGAGAAGCCGGCCACCTCGAACAGGGCATCGGCCTTGCTCAGGCTCTGGGCCAGGCGGCCCCGCGGCCGGGCCGTGAGCAGCAGGGTGCAGCCCCGCAGCAGCTTGCGCTGGAGGAGGCCTGCCAGCAGCCCCCGGAGGGAGCGGGGCTCTGCCGACCCGGGGCCCCCTGCGCTGTGCAGGGAGCCGTCGTGGGCTTCCAGCTCCTCAAAGGCATCCAGGATGAGCAGGACGCGGTTGGGCCTCCTCACGATGTAACTAAGGACCTCGTCGTCCACCGGCAGCGGCTGCGGGCCCAGGGAGGACAGCAGATCCTGCAGGCAGTAGGAGGTCCCCGGACGGTCCAAACAGTGACAGGGGATGCAGAAGACAAAGTCGTACTGCGGCAGCTGGCCGCAGGCCCAGGCCCGGCTCACGGCCCGGACCCAGTGACTTTTCCCGTGTCCCGCTTTGCCCAGTACAGCAATCACCCGCGTCTCACGCGGCTGCCGGCGGTCGCTCGCAGCCAGCAGCACCTCGGCCAGACCCCCTTGGGCCGGCTGCCGCTCTGCCCAGTCCAGGGTGGCCAGCTCTCTCTCCTGGCTCTTCCCACTGTTCTTCTCCAGCCTCACCCTCACCAGCTCCATCTCCACCAGGGTGCCTTCCGGGCCGGCGGGCTGGGCATGGTACTTGTCCCGTAGTGACTGGTAGAACTGCTCCACGCTCTCTGCGCAGGTCAAAGGGTGTGGGAGGGGGAAAGGGGAGGATGCTCGCGGCAGGACTGACCACTGTGAGGCCAGCCTGGCCCCCGTCACTAGCTTCTTCATCCATTCATCTCAGCCTTCCCTGAGCGCTTTCTTGATTAGCGGCCTCACTCAGTTACCCAGACACTCATTCATTCCTTCTTACACCCAGTCATACCTCATCTCACTTGATTATCTATCCACTCCATTCACTCACTAGCCTTCATTTTTTTTTATTTTTTATTTTATATTGAGGTATAGCTGATCAACAATATTGCAATAGTTTCAGGTGCCCAGCAAAGCAACTCAGCCAGACATGTACATGGATCCATTCTCCCCCAGACTCCCCTCCTATTGAGGTTGTCACATAACATTGAGCAAGACCCTGTGCTAGACAGCAGGACCTTGTTGCTAACATTCTTTTATTTGCTCATCATAGGGAGGCCGTGGGGGAAGGGGTGTTAAGAGCTAAGATAGAAGAATCCATGTGTCTGGTTCAACTTTTTACTGTTCTCTTGAGCACGTGAGGTACCCCACTATGCTTCAGCTTCCTCACCTGTAAAACGCGGATCATACTGGGGTTGTTGGCGACTTGACTACATCTCATGTGCCTGTAAGTGTATCTGGGACAGGGTCCGACTCAGCCGTCTGGCTGTTCTCTAAGTCGCCCTTTCATTTCTACTCTCTCACGCTCATCACCCACTCTTGCCTTCATCCATTCTCTCAGTCACCCACCCTTCCCTCCTTCATTCTCCCAGCTTTGCAAACAAGAAAATGTTGACACATAGTATGGACTTATGGGGGACAGGTCCTCAGTAAACATTTCTCTAAGTGTGGGTGTAACTGGTGGAGTGAATGATGGGATGATGGCGGGACCAAATGAGCATGTAAATGAATGAGCCAACAAGGGACCCTGCCACCACTCACCAGGCCACTTGGGAAGTTTGCTGGAGGCCCTGTCAGCTGCCGGGCATTTGGTGGGGGACATCTCATCCTCTGGAGGGGAAGAAGATCGTATTAGAGTTACAGTGAGGGGCATCCTGGAGACCTCCCTCCCTCTGGGTCATCAGTCCCTTGAGTATGCCAAGGGCAGAGCTGACATGGGCTGAGTGTCCCCAGGTGGTGACCTGAGGCTGTATCCTATTCAAAGATGTCTTTATTTGGCCAGCTGTACTTTTAAACTTTTCACCAGTGTTTTAGAAATCATAATATGTATGCTAAAATAAAAATCTCCAGGTTCTGCTGGCAATTCAGATCAGGCTGCATTGAGTCTATTTTCTTGCATGTAAGAAGCTGCTGAGATTTGACATGGATTCTCCTGTTGTTCCCCTCGCCCACCCTCCCATGCACCCACCCCCCAGGACACCCTGTCCTGTTGTGCGCAAACACAACTTGCCAGTCCCTGCAGGCATCTCTGTGGGTGGATCTCGTTGTCTGAGGCAATTCCTTCCCCCAGAACCTTTAGTTCTATTTCTGGTAACTCTCAGAGGTCAAGCTGATTCCTACCTGTCAGGTTTGCACGGGAGGTCAGGGCTGGTTCGGGCATGCTGGGGAGGTCGGCAGCAGACGGGGCGAAGGGGCTGGCGGAGCTGGGCCGGTCTGGGGACTTGGGAAGGCTCTGGACAGCAGGGTCGCTGGACGGGGGTGTTTGGCTGGCCGGGGGCATCTCACCTAGAGGAGATGGGAAAGAACCATAGAATCAGCTAGGAGCCCACTTGGGTCACCCCTTCTCCAAATAAGGCTGTGGGGCTGGGGGGCTGGGGAAAGGGGATGGAAACTTCCCAAGGAAGTCATTTCAGGATGGAGTTGAGGAAGGAGCTCTGGAATTACAGCTTGCTCCTGGAGCCTTGGTTTTCCCATCTGTGAAATGGGAACAATCATCTCATAGGGAGCTTAAGGGCAAATACTACTAGGCACTTTCCCCACTATGTGGTCAGAGCTCGTTTTCCTAGATACCTCTTGCTCCTGGAGCACCAGTTCATTATACAAAAACTGGCAAGCAACTTTCAAAGGAAGTTCTTGAATCAAATGGAAGCTTCTCCTAGGTGTATTCTCTCTCCCTGAGAGCCCAACGCATCGCTTCCCTTGAACAATCTAAAACCCTTCAACGGGGCAGGTCAGCAGGGACCACTTTGCTGACCTGGAAGCAAGGCAGTTCAGAGAAAGCTGTACAAGCGTGCATACCAAACTGTTCACAACAGTATACCAAAAGAGTGAGGGAGAGACTCGGGAACTCTCCTAAGTATGTGTTATTGTTGTGTGGCTTGTTAATTAGCATGCAATGATGTCATGATTTTAAAATATAATAAAGTGGGTTTTTTTGTTTGTTTGTTTAAAAAAAAAGAAGGCTTAGTGGGGGAAAGTGACCCAAAAAAGGCCACTTAGCCATTTGGTGGGTGGTGGGTCCACTCAGACCATGTTGGGGAGCTCTGCTCCTCTGCTTTGGGAAATGGGGACAGAGAAGGGTGTTCTGGGGAAGGAAGATCACGAAAAGGTGCTAGGCTACACCTGTCAAATACCTGGGTGGGAGTGGGGGTGGGGCATGGGATACAGGAGCAGTCAGGTCACAGGCAGAGGACCCCAGAGTTCACACACTCACCTTGGTAGATGAGTATACTGGAGACCCCTGTCCCAGTCCCTGAGATCGGCCAGAGCCCCTGGGGCAGAGTGGACAGAGTGGGGAGAGTCTGAATGGATCCCGCGGGAAGACTCAGGCAGCTCAACAGGGAACTGGAAGGGGGCGCTGCAAGAGACGGAGAAGGCGATTTGGGATTCTCCATTAAAATCTTTAAATATATATATATTTCAATTATCTAGAAAAATTATTATTATTATTATTATTATTATTATTATTGGCAGCACCGCACACAGCATGTGGGATCTTAGTTCCCAGATCCCTGGTCCAGGGATCAGCCCCACCCCCCTGCGTTGGAAGCGCAGAGTCTTAACCACTGGACCATCAGGGAAGTCCCTTCATTAACATCTGAGTTAATATCTAATGGAAAAAAAAGTGAAAGTGTTAGTCACTCAGTCATGACCCCATGGACTGTGGCCTGCCAGGCTCCTCTGTCCATGGAATTCTCCAGGCAAGAATCCTGGAGTGGGTTGCCATTCCCTCCCTGGCAAACCCAGGTCTCCTGCATTGCAGGCAGATTCTTTTCTGTCTGAGTGACCAGGGAAGCCCCAGTGAATATCTGACACCCTTATGAAGGGCTCGGGTCTACCAGAGAGCCGCAGCTGTGTTGGCCTGCCCTTGGTGGTGCTGCTGGCACCCAGCAGAGTAGCTGTCACAGAGAGGGTGCTCAGCTGACAACTGATGAAAGCACAGGGCCAGTGGGTGAATTCCCTAACTGGCGGGGATTCCCTGCTGTATCTCCCGGGGATGCGTTTCCTCCCAGGCATACTCTCCGGCACAGAATGAGTGGATGGGGACCCAAGGACCCGACTGGCTGGGACAGAAGTGGAGGAGACACTGGCATGGGGAGCAATTCCACCCCTGCTGCCACAGCCACTCCTGGGGCACCGCCAGGGAGCGGGGAAGCCCACCCTCTTGGAGCCCCTAACATACCCGGGTCCTTCAGCCGGGTCTGGCTGGATGCTGGCTCCGTGTTGAACAGAGCAGGAGGCGGCGGGCAGGGCTGAGCCAAGGAGTCGCTCACTGGCCCCACCAGGAAAGTGCCAGTCACCACGGGCATGGTGAGGGGCTCAGCTGTGAGGAAGGGGGCATGTTAGAGGCTGGGTGAGATCTGGGTGGGGGGGGGTGTCTAGAGGGGCCTTCTTGGGGGTGGAGGAGGGCAGGGTGGATCTCTCTGCTGGCAGTGGAAGGAAGCACCTGTCACCAGGCCTGGGTGAAGCTGGTTTCATTTCAGCAACTGCTCTGTTCATTTCAGTCACCAGCCCCAGCCTCCTCTTTATGGCTGGGTCCTGAGCGCTTCCTACCATGGAAACCTAGGGGTGGGCCCTAGGTTAGGTGGGCCTGTTAGCCCAGGCCCCTGTCACCCTCTGCAGCCAGTCACTGAGTCCCCAGGGACTCTAAGAGACCCCCCCAACACTGCCCATCAGCCTGAGGCAGAAATTTATCTCTGTTTAATTGCGAGTCCTTGGAGGGCGGACACTTGCCTTCCCACTTCAGACTGGGATCACCCTGAAGACTGAGACTATTTCTCCATCATCTTTGTGGGCTGGATCCCTGACATCTCCCTCACATTAGAGTTTGCTCAGGGCAGGGACCAGGCTTCCTCCGTCAGACTAGGGGGCTTTCATTCCTCAATCGGTTCCCCACAGACAGGCTGGTCTCCCCAGCTTTGCAAAAACCACCAAGTGAGAGGGGAGAAGAAGGGAGGGGAGAGGAAGGGAGGGGAGGGGAGGAAGCATCTGGTGGGAGGTGGGGTGGGGATGGTGAGTGTGGAGGAGAGGCTCACTGAGGCATGGGGCCTGTAAGGAGGGCGGAAGGAGACTGGGTAACCAGCCGATCCGAGGTGACTATACTCTGCAAGGAGACATGTGACCTGCAGGCACAGTGGAACTAGGTGGTAGGGGTGGGGGGTCTCAGTTCTCACTCGGAGTTAAGAGGAGGGAGGCATCATTGGAGGGGCTTCCTAGGAGGAGTGGAATCTCCCAGCAGTCCTTGAACTTCAGAACAATGGGCTATGGAATCATGATCTCGGTTTGAATCCAAGCCTTGCCTCTCACTTGCTGTGTGATCTCGGACAAGTGGCTTCGCCTCTCTGAACCCCGACTTTCAAATGCTAGTTTCCGTGCGAACGTGGAGAGGCCCCCGCTTTCCTGCCCACCTGCCCTGCTCACCTAGCTTCCGGTGCTTCAGATCCGCAGGCAGTTCCTCTGGGAAGGCTGCAGAGAGAACACCACAGTCATCAGCCCCAGGGTAGGGGTGTTCCAAGCCTGGAGGGGCTCGTGGGCCGCAGCAGGCCTTGCCTTAAGTGGCTGGGAAGTGGTCTTCAGGTCCCTTTTCCTCCCCTGACCCCAACCATTTCTGCCCCTACTTAAGCCGGAACCCCATCTTGAAGAGCCTGGGGCAATGAGGCGCAGGGAGAGGCAGAACCACAGAGGGGACCCAGAGGAGGTTTGTTTTGTGTAGTTTTTAAGCTTTTTTGGCAGCACTGCAAGGCTTGCAGGATCTTAGTTCCCTGAGCAGGGATCAAACCCTCACCTTCTGCAATGGAATCGCGGAGTCTTAACCACTTGAGTGCCAGGGAATTCCTAAGAGGAGTTTGAGTTTAAAAATAACAATAATAATAATAATCAACCTGCTTTTGGAGCTTCCTAGCTGTGTATGTCTGCAACACAGCATCTCTGAGTCTTTGCTCTCTCATCTCTAAAACGGGGGCAGTGATTCCTACTTTTCAGGAGTGCATTGGAAATCAATGAGTGAGTATTAAGCATGTAACACAAGAGAGAAAACTCCTAGATGTCCCTTAGCAAGAGGCTGATGAAGCAAATTATAGTTCATCCCCCAGTGAAATACCCTAAAAATAATGAGGACACTGGAGGACGTATGGGGTGATATTGGTGTCCACAATTTACCTTGAAATGCTCCAAAAGTAACATGGGTGGATGGGTGGATGAATAGAGGGATGGCTAGAGACGTGTCAAACCCGATATAGCCAAACACCGATGGTAGAATATAAGTGGTGGGTATACGGTTGCTTGTAGTACAACTCTTTCACTTTTACTGTATGTTGAAGTTTTCCATAATAAAATATTAGGGGAAATGTTTATGAAATGAAAAGAAAGAAATAAGGATGGAAGGAGGGAAGAAGAGAAAAAGAGAAAGAAAGAGAGAAAGGATGGGAGGGAGCAAGAAAGGAAAAGAAAGAAGAAAGGAAGGGAGGGAAATTCCCTGAAGGTAGGACCATGTGCTTTCCATCAGTGCTGCAGAAATAACCTCCCCGACACATTAAATGGAGAAAGCCAGGTACAGAAGACTGTAGGTGGTCATTTGCATGAAAAAATATTTTTTAAGAGGTGACTTTTAGACAAATAGAATAGTTCTTTTTTTTAAAAAAAATCTTTGGCCCACACTGCACGGCATGTTGGATCTGAGTTGCCTGACTAGCGATCGAACACATGCCCCTGCATTGGCAGTGTGGAGTCTTAACCACTGGCCAGGGAAGTGCCTGAATAGAATATTTCTAACAAGACCAAAAGGGAACTGGCAACATAGGTTGTCTTCAGAGAGGGAGAATGAGGGACTGGGGGAAAAGGGTGGGAGGGAGAATTTTTCCCCACTGAGTATTTGCACATTTTGAATTTGCATGTCATGCACCCATTTACCTGTTCAAATTCAATAAATAGGTTCAGGGCTTATACGTGGTCTGGCACATAGTAAGCACTTGATCAACTGTTATGCCCATTTCATGGAAATTTTCACTCAATGGGTAGTTATTGAGGTGCTCCTGCATGCCAGCCACATGCCAGGTGATAGGGATGTAGGGATAAGTAAGAAGGACAAGGTCCTCATGGTGTGGGAACTCAGCAAAGGCAATAAATAAAATAAATCCAGATTGTGACAAGTGCTACAGAGACAGAGAGACACAAACAAGGTGAAAATAGGTGAGGTAAGTTATATGGAAAGCGTAGTCAAGGAAGGCTATCAGGAGGAGGTGACATGTTGGCCAAGACCTGAGAGATTCCCAAGCCCCTAATGGGAAGAAGTGGGGGGGGGTGGGGATAGCTCAGAGAGAGAGAACAGCAAGTGCAAAGGCCCTGGGGCTGGAAAGGATACATGGGTTAGGAATGGAATGGAAATGGAAAATGGAATAGGAATGGAAAGAAGACAGAGTGACAGGCACATAGGGACTCACAGTGAGTTTGGAGAGGTGGGAAGCGCCAGGTCATACAGGCCTGTGGTATGAATTTTGTAGCCACTGGAGGATCAGTGTGCATATGAGTCAGTCGCTTCAGTCGTGTTCAACTCTTTGCGAACACACGGACTGTAGCGTGCCAGGCTTCTCAGTCCACGGGATTCTCCAAGCAAGTATTACTGGAGTGGGTTGCCATTTCCTCCTCCAGGGGATCTTCCCGACCCAGGGATTCAACCAAAGGAGTCTCTGGTATGGTAGGCAGATTCTTTACCGCTGAGCCACTGTGGAAACCCAGAAGGTCAGCAGGGCGGAAATATGATCTGATTTGCATTTAAAAGCCCAGGTTGGCTGCCAAATGAGGGCTGATTAAGGAGGCAGGGAGACTGACTAGGAGGCTCAGAGAGATGCAGGTACTTGCCCAAGTTCACACGGACTATAAATAACAGATCCAGGACTCAAACCCAGATCTTGCTGGGGAAAAACTGTGCTTGAAGAGCTCTCCCTTAAACAGGGGGTGACAACTAAGGATGAAAGAGAAGCCAGAGCCCAGAGGTCTGTTTGGACCCCAAAACAGCCAGGGGCAGAGACCCAGCAGGAAAGAGGCCATTTGATCCTGGGCAATCAACTTCCTCCCTCTATCATTAGGGAGCAGGGGTGAGGGGAGAGGTGGGAGGACTCCCAAGCTCAGGCCAAGCAGACAGGACTCAAGGAGGGAAGCAACTGGGAGCCATCCCAGGTTTTAGAGCCGAGGCAGGGCCAGCAGTTAAGCAAGGTTGGGTCAGATCAGGGAGTGGTGGCGGTGGGGAGAGTGGTGGGGAGGGGTGGAGGGGGGCTCACTCACGTCTTTTCTGACTTTTCTGCCCTGCTTCCTCCAGCACCTCCACACTCTCGCTGATCATCTCTTCCAATCCTATGTGCTCAACTTTGGGGAAAAACCAAAGACACCAACACATAGTCAGTGGACGTCCAAGGGAGGGAATGTGATCACTCATTGAGGGGGCGTCCTCGGGTATTACAGTGCTCCCCAGGAACAAGGAAGGAAATGCAGGCTGAGCCAAGAACTGCCCCCCGCCCCCAGCCAAGGGACAGTTAGGGAGCCTGAGATCACACGTACACACTGCTATATTTAAAATGGATAACCAACAAGAACCTACTGTATAGCACACGGAACTTTGCTCAATGTTATGTGGCAGCCTGGACGGGAGCGGGCTTTGGGGGAGAATGGATGTATGGCTGAGTCCTTTCACTGTCCACCCAAAACTATCACAACATTTTTAATCAGCTGTACTCTAATATAAAAAGTGAAAGTGAAAGTCGCTCAGTCGCATCTGACTTTTTGCGACCCCATGGACTGTAGCCCACCAGGCTCCTCTGTCCAAGGAATTCTCCAGGCAAGAATACTGGAGTGGGTTGCCATTCCCTTCTCCAGGGGATCTTCCTAACCCAGGGATCAAACCTAGGTCTCCTGCATTGCAGGCAGATTCTTTACTGGCCGAGCCAGCAGGGAAACTAATATAAAATAAAAAGTTAAAAAGAAAACAAGAACTAGTCAACTTACTGAAAATGTCTCTGCTCAGGCCCTCCAGCTGGGTGTCCTGGAAGACGTACTGGTCCAATTCCGCTGCCCAGACAAGAAAAAGCACCGTCAATCAACTATTTCTCACCAAATGCTTATTGTACGCCTGGCCTTGGACTGGGTATCAGGGAACTGTGACCCTTCAGACTTGGCACACACCGGGGTTCAATAAATGTGTGCTGAACGAATTATCAAATAAGTGAAGGAACACTGAACCTTCATGGGCTCTTAATCTAATTAAAGGGATGATATATATCCATGCAAACTTTTATATTGCTATAAAGTAGTACATCGCAGCATAGCAGAGTTGTCTTGAAGGTGAAGTGAAAGTAACTCAGTCATGTCTGACTCTTTGGGACCCCATGGACTGTACAGTCTGCGGAATTCTCCAGGACAGAATACTGGAGTGGGTAGCCTTTCCCTTCTCCAGGGGATCTTCCCAACCCAGGGATCAAACCCAGGTCTCCCGCATTGCAAGTGGATTCTTTACCCGTTGAGCCACCAGGGAAGCCCAGAGTTGTCTGGGGTTTGAGTTGAAATTCCAGCTCTACTCCCTACTCACCCCACTAGCTATACCATCTTGGGTCTACTTAACCTCTCTGGGCCCCTATTTCCTCATCTGTGTAATGAGGATAAATAGTACCTACAACCCAGGGGTGGATGGTGAGGATTGGAGACTCTGCATTTAAAGCAATCAACACAGTAGCCAGGACACAGTGAACACTCAATAAAGTGAAAGTGTTAGTGGTTCAGTCATGTGTGGCTCTTTGCAACCCCATGCGCTATAGCCTGCTGGGCTCCTCTGTTCATGGAATTCCCCAGGCAAGAATACTGGAGTGAGTAGCTATCCCCTTCTGGTTAATTACATGAAGTAGAGCATGCCTTGGAGCCAATGGAAAGATAGCTCTCATAGTAAGAGGCAAGAGGAGGGTGTATTTTGGGCGGGGGTAATCAGGGAGGGCTTCCCAGAGGCAGGGATCCTGGAGCCAGACCTTGAAAGATGGAGGGCAGAGTCTGAAGGATGAAAGTGGAGGGCTTCCTGGGTAGTGGGGACAGAGTAAGGAAAGGTGGCTAGGAAACTCTTGAGATAGATGTCTTCAGTAAAATTTTCGTGTTGGGGAAAGTTTGGGCTTCATTTTACAGGCAATTGGGCTGCCCTGGTGGCTCAGAGAGCAAAGAATCTGCCTACAATGTAGGAGACCTGGGTTCGATCCCTGGGTCAGGAAGATCCCTGGAGAAGGGAATGGCAACCCACTCTAGTATTCTTGCCTGGAGAATTCCATGAACAGAGGAGCCTGGCAGGCTACAGTCCATGGGGTCGCAAAGAGTTGGATACAACCAAGCAACTAATACTTTCACTTTACAGGCAATAGGGAGCCATAAAAGGCTTCTGAGTAAATGGATTAAAGATCTAAATGTAAGACCAGAAACTATAAAACTCCTAGAGGAGAACATAGACAAAACATTCTCTGACATAAATCACAGCAGGATCCTCTATGACCCACCTCCCAGAATATTGGAAATAAAAGAAAAAATAAGCAAATGGGACCTAATGAAACTTAAAAGTTTTTGCACAACAAAGGAAACTATAAGCAAGGTGAAAAGACAGCCCTCAGATTGGGAGAAAATAATAGCAAATGAAGCAACAGACAAAGGATTAATCTCAAAAATACACAAGCAACTCCTGCATCTCAATTCCAGAAAAATAAATGACCCAATCAAAAAATGGGCCAAAGAACTAAACAGACATTTCTCCAACGAAGACATCCAGATGGCTAACAAACACATGAAAAGATGCTCAACATCACTCATTATCAGAGAAATGCAAATCAAAACCACAATGAAGTACCCTTACATGCCAGTCAGGATGGCTGCTATCCAAAAATCTACAAGCAATAAATGCTGGAGAGGGTGTGGAGAAAAGGGAACCCTCTTACACTGTTGGTGGGAATGCAAACTAGTATAGCCACTATGGAGAACAGTGTGGAGATTCCTTAAAAAACTGGAAATAGAACTGCCATATGACCCAGCAATCCCACTCCTGGGCATACACACTGAGGAAACCAGATCTGAAAGAGACACATGCACCCCAATGTTCATCGCAGCACTGTTTATAATTGCCAGGACATGGAAGCAACCTAGATGCCTATCAGCAGACGAATGGATAAGAAAGCTGTGGTACATATACACAATGGAATATTACTCAGCCATTAAAAAGAATTCATTTGAATCAGTTCTAATGAGATGGATGAAACTGGAGCCCCTTATACAGAGTGAAGTAAGCCAGAAAGATAAAGACCAATACAGTATACTAACGGATATATATGGAATTTAAAAAGATGGTAACGATAACCCTATGTGCAAAACAGAAAAAGAGACACAGATGTACAGAACAGACTTTTGGACTCTGTGGGAGAAGGCGAGGGTGGGATGTTCTGAGAGAATAGCATTGAAACAAGTATACTATCAAGGGTGAAACAGATCGCCAGCCCAGGGTGAATGCATGGGACAAGTGCTCAGGGCTGGTGCACTGGGAAGACCCAGAGGGATGGGATGGGGAGGGAGGCGGGAGGGGGGATCAGGATGGGGAACACATGTAAATCCATGGCTGATTCATGTCAATGTATGGCAAAAACCACTACAATACTGTAAAGTAATTAGCCTCCAACTAATAAAAATAAATGAAAAAAAAGAAAAAAAAAGGCTTCTGAGTGAGGGCATGACAGTGGTGATGATGATAATGCTAATGGTGATGGTGTTGATGGTAGTGGTCGGGTGGTACCTAACATTTACTGAATGCTTATTGCAATCCTGCTCTAAATACATACACATAGAAACTTATTCAATTCTCACAGTCATCCCACAGGCAGGCATGATTATTATTCCCATTTTACACACGTAATACTGTAATACTTCGGGATGTCTCAGACGACTGCAGGCCACGAGCACAGATTTGAGGAGGAAGCTGCCTCCTCCACTTGCTCTCACTTCCTGTGTAGATGTGCCCCTAAGGGGGAAATGAATCCTCAGTGATTCGAAAAAAGCCCAAATCATTCATTACTGCCTCCAGCTTTGAGGGAATGTGAATAGTCTCAGGCCTAAGCATTTCTGCTTCTTCCAAGGAAATTCCAAGGTAGGAAAGGAAGAAGGGAGGCTCTCAGTTCTATAATTTTTGAGTCACATGCAGTTTCTGCTCCTCTCCATTTTCTGCCTGAGAAATCCCATGGACAGAGGAGCCTGGCGAGCTACATACAGTGCATGGGGTCACAAAGAGTTGGACATGACTTAGCAGGTGAGCACACACACACGCATACAGGCATGATGCTGTTAACTATGTGCTGAGGAGAGACTAGCCATGTTCATGCCAGACCTCTTAAGTGATGTGATTCTTGGGATACCAGGAAAAGGGCCACTAAGAACATCTGTGCAGGTTGTTCACTGTGCAAGGGTGCCCAGCCAAGAGGGTAAATGGGCGGAAGTATTCAGCCTGAACTTTGATGGCCAAGTTGTTACACCTTTTTTTTTCTTCTTATTTTGACTTTTTCTTTGTTTTTAAATTTTATTCATTTTTCATTGAAGGATAATTGCTTTTCTGCCATACATCAACATGAATCAACCATAGGTAGACAAAAGGCCTTTCCCTCCCACCTCATACCCCATCCCACCCCCCTAGGTTGTCACAAAGAAGTTCTTACTTCTTAATAGGGGCTGCATCCTGAAAAGAAGAGGAGGCATTGTTTTCCTAATCCAGCAAAGCCTGTGTATGAGATAGTGGTGAGCCTGGGAAGGAGGGATCCTTTACCTCACCCTACCAGGAAAAAAAACAACAACAGAAACACCCCTCCCCAAAGAGTTCTGCCCTCATCTGAAAGCTGTAGGTCTTTTTAAAGCTGCAAAACAGTCTCTCAGCTTAAGCCTTAGCAAACCTCCCACTCCAGATACTATCATTCTTATGGTTAAAAGTAAGGACTTTGAAATAAGAAAGACCTAAGCTAGAATTTCAGACTTGCCTGTTAGTGTCACTAATGCAGCCTTGAGTAGATGCTTTAGTTTCTCTAAATCTCGATATCCTCATCTGTTAAATGAAGATACTGATAGTAGCTACTTTCTCTGTTTTCGTAAAGATTCAGTGTGATAACACACACCATGATTAGTAGGCTACAAATGCCCCCCCAAAATGGTAGTTACACTGGCTTCCATGTGTACAAAATGGGAATAATAATCACACCTGCCTTGTGGGATGACTATGAGAACAGAATAGGTTTCTGTGTGTAGAGTGTTTAGAACAGGAACTTGCAAAGAGTAAGCGTAAGTGTTAGGTACCACCGGACCACTACCATCAACACCATCATTACCATCATCACCACTATCATCACTCACTCAGAAGCCTTTTATGGCTCCCTATTGCCAGTAAATCAAGTCCTAACTTTCCTGGAGTCAAAACTTTCACTGAAGACGCCTATCTCAAGAGCTTCCTAACCACCCTTTCTTACTCTGTCTCCACTACCCAGGAAGCTATTACAAATACTAGAGTAATTCAGCTTAGGAGCTGGGGAGAAAGGGAGGGAGGGGTGTATGACATGGGCTTTGTGGGAAGGAAAGAAAGAACAGCAGCAAATGGAAAAAGGTATAGAAGTGGTGGCAGAAGATGGGGAAAGTTAAATTTATTTGCCTGGTGTTCATCTCCCCTTTTCTCAATTCTCTGTCCTTCTAACCCTTGCTCCCTATCCTCCTTGCTCTAATTTCTGACGGAGGGCCTGTTCACTCCTGGTGAGTGGCTGACATTAACAAAAGGGAAAAAGAGAATCTTCCCTCTCAATTGTCCTTTTTCTGGACTAAGAATGCTTTCTCACCGATATTAGCATAAGCCTCCCTGGTCTCTTCGTCACCTTCCATGTCACACAACAGCCTGCTGAACTGTTCGCAGTTGATGGTGTCTGTGTCAGGTTCTGGGAGGAAAAGACACTTGGATGAAGCTGGAAAGATCTGGGAAGGCGGCTGCTGGGGAAGGAGGGAGAGGCAGGGCAGCCTGGGAGAGGTCCCCACCAGGAGCGAGCCTGGCTTGCAGGTGGAGCTGTCCGTGGTGCTGAGCGGAGCTCCGCGGCCAGCTCTGCCCCGGGTGGTATCTCCACTGCTGGCAGAGGGCTGGGGAGGGCCTTGAAAGGGGCCCGAGGGAGGGCAGCCCACCTGAGCAGAGCTCTATCTCTTCTTCTCCTGTCAGATCCATCCGGTCGTAGAGGTGGTAGAGCTGCAAAGGGTCAGCACTGCTGTTGAGAAGTTCTAAGTAACTGCCTTCTAGAGGCCCCAGCTCCATGGTTGGGCACTGTCCACTACCTGGAAGGGAGACACAGCAGTCAGCTCATGGGGTGTTGGAAAGATGCAGAGAATTAACACCTACCACAGTTTCCAGCTGGCTCTCTTGGTGAAAACGAGGGTTGGCGGGAGCCAAAGGAAGTGAACAGAGGCTTCTCATTCAGCACTACTTATGTGCTCAGGGCAAAGAATATGCCTGCAATGCGGGAGACATGGGTTTGATCCCTGGGTAGGGAAGATCCCCTAGAGAAGGGAATGGCTACCCGCTCCAGTATTCTTGCCAGGAGAATTTCATGGACAGAGGAACATGGCGAGCTACATTCCATGGGGTTGCAAAGAATCAGACAACTGACTGACGAACACTTTCACATGTGTTCAGGACATTGAGGAGGAGAAGCCCTACATCCTTCCTCTAAGGATCTTTGTCACAGTGGGAAGATGTCCATGATACAGAAAAGGGAACCAAAGAAGTGTAGATTCAGGACATCTCATACCTGGGAGCCAGGGGACCTACGTTCTGCTGTTAGCAACTACCATGAATGATAAGAGCTAAGATGCACAGAATACCTACTCTGTGCCAGACACACAGTGTAGCACATTTAATTCTCACATCAACAATCATATGAGGTAGGTACTATTACTAACCTCATTTTATACATGAATAAACTGAGGCTCAGAGAGGTGACGTGACCTATGTAAGGTAACTCAAGCCCAACCAGGATTTAGTTCTGGGCAGTCTGACTCATGGCCCTGTATTTAGGTGTTAGGCTTTCCTGCCTTGGGTGACCTCAAGCAAGTCTGTGCTCCTCTCTAGGCTTCAGTTTCCTAATATCTAAATTGAAGGTGTTTAGGCACATTTTCTCTAATATCTTTCATTATTAATTGTTGGAAAGTGGAAGTGAAGTCCCTCAGTCTCGTCCGTCTCTTTGCAACCCCATGGGCTGTAGCCTACCAGGATCCTCCATCCATGGGATTTTCCAGGCAAGAGTACTGGAGAGGGTTCCCATTTCCTTCTCCAGGGGACCCTCCCAACCCAGGGGTTGAACCTGGGTCTTCCGCTTTGTAGGCAGATGCTTTACCATCTGAGCCACCAGGGAAGTATACTAATTGTTGGAGGACATGTCAAATACCTTAGGTTCTACTTCATTTAATCTTCAAAACAGCCCTGGCTCAGTCCACACAAAAGCTTGTATACAAATGTACATAGAAGCATGTTTCATAATAGCCAAAACATGGAAAAATTCAAATGACTATCAATGAATAAATGGATAAACAAAATGCGGTATATCCATGCAATGGAATAGTTGTTGTTATTCAGACACGTAGTCATGTCTGAGTCCTTGCAACCCCATGGACTGCAGCTCTCCAGGCTTCCCTGTCCTTCACCATCTCCCAGCATTTGCTCAAACTCATGTCCATCAAGTCAGTGATGCCATCCAACCATCTCATCCTCTGTCGCCCCCTTCTCCTCTTGCCCTCAATCTTTCCCAGAATCAGGCTCTTTTCCAATGGAATAGTATTCAGGCATAAAAAGGAATAAAGTATGGATACTACTTCAACATGGAAGAAATTCGAAAACATCATGATAAGTGAAAGAAGTCAGACATGAAGTCACATTTTGTATGATTCCATTTATACAAAATGGACAGAACAGACAAATCTTTGGAGATAGAAGGCAAATTCATAGTTGGCTACATGTGGGGGAAACTTGGCGGGAGGGAAATGGGGAACAAATGCTAGTGGGTATGAGGCTTTTGGGGGGAATGATGAAACATTCTAAAGTTGATGGGGGATGGTTTCACAACTTTGTGAGTACACTAAAATGGCCACTGAATCATGTACTTTAAATGGGTGAATTGTCTGAAATTTGATTTATATTCCAATAAAGTTGTTAAGAGCAAGAATAGTGTGGGGGCTTCCCAGGTGGCACAGTGGTAAAGAATCCGACTGCCAATGTAGGAGATGCAGGAGATGCAGGTTTGATTCCTGGGTTGGGAGGATCATCTGGAGGAGGAAATGGCAACCCACTCCAGTATTCTTGTCTGAAAAACTCTATGGACAGAGGAGCCTGGTGGACTACAGTCTACAGGGTCACAAAGAGTCGGACAGGATTGAGTGACTGAACACAGTACAAAGCTGTTAAAATGAAACAAAACACTGGCTCTGGGAGGTAGGCTTTATGGTCTTCCCTTTGCAGATGAGTGACCTGAGGCTGAGAGAGGCCCAGCAGACCCCTGATGTACATCTCTCACTGGCTGGAGCCAGTGTGAAGCTCCATCAGTGTGGCTCTAATGGCCCTGCCTTCCCCCCAGTTTTGGTAGTCTATGATGCCATGATCTGTTCATTTCCTACTGCTGCTGCAACAATGTGCCACAGGGCTAATGTACCTTAAAGCAACAAGTCTTATTCCCTCACAGTTCTGGAGGCCAGAAGTCTAAGTAAGGTGTTGGCAGCCTTGGTTCTTCTGGAGGCTCTAGGGGGACACTCTTCTTTGCTTCTTCTAGCTTTGGGAATTGATGGCGTTCTTGACTTGTGACTTTGAGGCCACATCACTCCATTCTATGCCTAAGTGCTCACATAATCTCCTAATCTGCATTTGTCTTAAATGGACATTGATTTAGAGTCTACCCAAATAAACCAGGCTTCCCTGATAGCTCAGTTGGTGAAGAATCTGCCTACAATGCGGGAGACCTGGGTTTAATTCCTGGGTTGGGAAGATCCCCTGGAGAAGACAGGCTACTCACTCCAGATTCTGGCCTGGAGAATTCCATGAATATATTAAAGAGTACATTTTGGAGAAGGGAATGGCAACCCACTCTAGTATTCTTGCCTGCAGAACCCCATGGACATAGGAGAGCCTGGTGGGCTACATTCTATGGAACTGCAAAGAGTCGGACATGACTAAGCAACTTTCACTCACTCATTCAGATACACCAGGATATCAGTTCAAGATCTTTAACTTAATTACATTCACATTTTCATTCCAAATAAGGTAGCACTCAACTCTCTAGGGGTTTTATGTTGACATATCTTTGAGGTGGAGGGGGAGGTCCACCATTCAACCCACTATACTTGGGAGTCAGATACATGCTGGAAAGAATCAAAAGAAGCTTCCTGGAGGAGGTGAGAAGAGCAATGGCCAGAAGATCCAAGATACACTTCCAAGTGCCCAGCCTGGGCCAGAAGAAAATGGAATTGAAACGGGAGGGTCGTGAGAAAACACACACATGCAACTCACCACCACCACCCAGGTGCTCTTTTCCCTTTCAGTCATCAACAGCTCTCATTAGCTCTGAAGGGTCTCAACACAGACCCGGATATCACAGAGAGTGAACTTTCCAGTTCAGCGAGACACCCTGGCCAGGCTTGACTGTTTATAATGGGTTGGGTGGGGGTGTCAGGAACCCAAACATAGCAGGCTTGCATTAATGACCCAGCCAACCATGTCTAGAGGAAGTGGAACTGAAAGATGGGGCTACCAACTCTCTTTTCTCGGAGCAGGGCCAAGGCTGGGAGGTGGGGCGAAGGACTTCACTTCTCCCAACAAGTCCTGGGAGCTAACCAAGCAAACTACTGTGCTCTCCAGGGTGGTGAGAGAAGAGAGAGCTCTCTGCCCAAATCTTGCCTGCTGCCCTGCTCCCCTTTTCCAGTCTGCAGTCTTTATTGACAGTCTACATTATAGCTAGCCATCTGACTCTTTCTCCAGACAGTGAGATCTGGTAACAACAGATCCAGACTAACCCCAGCAATTCCACAAACAAAATGTGTGACTTTAGTCAAGTCACTCATATTCTGAGTTCTCCCACAAAGACTGCCAGGGACCTTTAGGCTCAATCTCCTTCATCCCAGAGAGGAGAAGATGGAACCCTGAGAGGGGCTGTGCCTTGCACAAGGCCCTAGAGTCTGCTGGTGGTGGGGCCTGCACCCAGCATAAGATTCCCAGTCCATGCTCTTCCCTGCCAATCAAAATGTATCAGGTCAACTAAGCACCCCCATTTATCTAGGCTCAGGAATAGGGACCAGGTCCTATCACAGAAGAGAAAGGAGGGAAATGCAGAGGGGAGGAGCCTGAAGAAGCCTAGCTTATTGACAAGCTCAGCTGCAAACACTGGACACCAAATGTGGTCCAATACCAGGGAAATACACTGGCACCCAAGAAAGAAGGCAAATCCTTTGAGCTTTGGAATCACACTGCCCGATTCTGAAGTCACTCTTATCTACAAATTCACCATAACCCAGAAAGTTCATTGTTTAGATTCCTTGGAGCCTCAGTTTCCCCATCTTTATTTTTAGGCCACGTTCACAGCTTGTGGTGTCTTAGTTTCCTGCATGTGCCTGCTCAGTCGCTCAGTTGTGTCCAGCTCCGTGATCCATGGATTATAGCCCGCCAGGCTCCCCTGTCCATGGCCTTTTTCAGGCAAGAACACTGGAATGGGGTGCCATTTCCTCCTCCAGGGTATCTTCCTCACCCAGGGATTGAACTAGAGTCTCCTGCATTGGCAGGGGTATTCTTTATCACTGAGGCTCCTGGGAAGCCCCTTAGTTCCCTGATCAGGGATAAAATCCAGGCCCCCTGCAGTGGGAGTATGGAGTCCTAACCATCTGACCACCAAGGAATTCCCTCAGTTTCCTCATCTGTGAAGTGTTAGTCCATAAGGACTAGGTGAATTAACTCATGTAGGGCCCTTAGGAAGATGACTGTCACTTCGTAAGTGCTTAAGGAATGGAAGCATAGCCACACAGAGAGCACAATATGGGTGATGGCTACGATTATTGTTAATTCACCTCTTACCTCTGCAAGAATCACTGCAGATGGTAACTGCTGCCATGAAATTAAAGGATGCTTGCTCCTTGGAAGAAAAGTTATGACCAACCTAGACAGCATACTAAAAAGCAGAGACATTACTTTGCCTACAAAGGTCCATCTAGTCAAAGCTATGGTTTTTCCAATAGTCATATATGGATGTGAGAGTTGGACTATAAAGAAAGCTGAGCACCAAAGAATTGATGCTTTTGAACTG